TTACAACTGTAGACTTTCAAAGTCCACGATTACAGCTGAACCTCTGAGAGGCCTCTGGGCCACACTTGTCAACAGTGGATGATGTCTATGAAAGGATTACATCACTTGGTGAATTCTGAAAAGGGTCCCTCAGTCAAGAGAGCTAATTGTATTTGTATGCCTAACATGAAACTATGAGAGAAAGACTGAATCAAACTGTCAGCTTAAAAAAACCCCCATCACTGTCAGCATCAGGTTGAAGTTCTGGGTAGGAGTCGTCCAGTAGGCACAGGGGCACCCTGTGCCCCTGCTAGGACAGCTGGCTGTAGAAACCAAAAATAATAAAATAACCAACTTTTCTAGTCTCAAACAAGATCAGGAAACCACCATTATTCAAAAAAATCATGCTTCCCAATAACCGTCCTGTAACAGGAATTGGGCAGCAGCACTTTTGGAGTCAGTCTGTAATTTCTGTTATATATTACAGACTTTAAACAGGATTCTGGAGAGGAGGAACTCTGCTCTCCTCTGGGGATGAACAGCACTTAGCACTACAATCCCAGTTTTTAGGTGTTAGGAAAGCAAAACTCACATATGGTAAATACAATAAATAATTTAAAACATGTGAGAGCAGCTAAGAAATAAGACCTATGGGAGGTGGAGAAAGGGCATTTCGGGTGAGATCCAGTGCACCATTTTTAAGGAGCTCTAGTTGGTTGTTGCAGAACATTGAAGAAAAAGCCTCTTGGGTGCTCCTGACCCCTCCCTTTAAAAAAACCCTGCAAATCCAAACCAACAAACAACAGAACCCCCATCAAAAAAACGATGACAATAAAACCCCAAGCCCCCCTGCTAAGAGAGAGAGGAAAATCTAATAAAATTACTTTGCCTCTCATGTTCTAATACAAGCCAATTTAATACAGAAAATACTGTCATCAGAGTGACCAACTTCATTCCCACATAGAGATAATAATACCAGTCAGTGACAGCCTTTATCTGTAGCATTCACTGGTATGACCTCTGCATTAAGACAGAGGAGTATGTTTGGAAAAGTAAACATCATGATTTTTCCACAAAAACCATTAGGCAGATTTGTCAGATGTACTGGTATTTATACGCTTCTCATTCAACATACTTTCTCCATCTGTAGAGAAAAATACATCAGCGGTTTCCTTTAAGAGGCATCAAGTACTGGATAAGTTCTACTGTATATTCTAAAGGCAACTTGTTTCTTCAGTTAGTGTTGGTTTTACCATTTCATGTAAACCAAGATCTCTCATGCTGTACAGATGTCTTCCTATTTTGATGACACCTAAATTTAGAGGGTGCAGAAAACCACTGTTAGCAATAAGAAGTGGTGACAAGGGACAAGAAGCACACTTTTACTCTTCAACGTGAACATATAAATGCTGGATGCTGATACTATAAATAAAATCAATGGTCCCATTTAATGTCCAAATGAAACTCCAAAACAGGAGGTGCTAGACAGATCGTAGCCTGATTTCAAATCATTATTTTGTAATGATTCAAGATGAAAAATGCTTTTTTTGGCTAATAACTTGCACTTGCTTCCTTGGAAGCGTACTATTTCTGACTTAATGAAATTAATACTTTTTATTTTTAACTAAGTGTTGAAAATATTTCAAAGAGCATTGCCAAGTGAGCCTCGAACACCTGGAACAAATATCCTGCTTTGCAGTAATACAGTCTATTTATGGTTGCCTCAGAAGGTCACTCATACTTCAACTACTGCAGTATGTCACCACTTTATAAATGAGAGTGATATCAGCAAATAAAATAGGTGCCTTATCCTTCCCTGGCACTGGTTTTCTAATCCGAGGTGCAAGGTGTGATGTTAGGCTTAAATTTAAAGGACCTGGGTGACTAAAGATGGCTATGAGGAGTACAAGACAAAAGGACAGAAGCATCAAGCCCTGGACCCTTAATTAATAAAACACAAATGGACTGAATTTCACAGGTTTGGGGCATTTTGGTGCTTAATAGCAGTAGTAGCTCTGGAACTGCTAAATGCAAATAGTGTACAACTTTGGCCACTACATTAAAAAAAACCCCACTTTTCAGAATTTCTCTTTTAGAGAAGGTCAAAATTAATGAATCCTGTCAAGATATGTTAAACTAAAATCTTCAGATACTTTCAAGGTATGTCATTACATATTTTCCAATTCATAAGTCAAAACTTGGAAATTAGAATAGTGTGTCTTTATTCATAGTCTGCCACAAATTAATGGATAAACTTAGCCAAAAATGTATCTGCCATCTGAACATGGCAAGCATATCTGCAAAAAGTGGATCCTTTTCTTCTAGTAGATAATCAGATGTTCTGTTACCAGCTCTCACTATAGTGCCGAATGCAATTAAAGAATTGTTTTACACAAGCTGCCTGACGCTCAGCAGAACCACTGTCTCTTCATTATTGCAAGGACACGGAGATGTATACTTTAATGTTAAGCCTTCACTGACATTAGTGGGACTCATTTGTCTCTCAGGTGAGCTTGCACACCATCTTTGCAGGATTGGAGTTTATGACTACAAAAGCAGTAACAAGGGGGACAAGAACAGACGCACTACAATAGGCATTCCAACAATTCAATGCATCCATCTTACTGAAGGAAATCATATCTTTACATACCACTGAATGTTAAAAACAAACAAAGAAGTTTAAGCACAAAGTATATATTTATAACAAATAAAACAACTGAAAAAGTATTACATAAAGAAAAAATAATGTAACAGAATGTACTTAAGTACCTAGCTTACAGTCATGCTCGTATCTAAAAATAACATTGGTAAGTAATATATATAATTTTGGACATAATTCTCTAACATACAACATGATTCTGTGATTCTAAATGTGGAGAGTACTTTTTCCAAGATACAGAACACAAATTATTTTACACAGGCACACCTGTTAATTTGTATAAAAAACATGCTTGTAAGTGAAAAGGTCACTGTAGTACTAATTTACCATGTAGTGTTAATCATGTTGAAATCGTCTCTTCTCCTTTTGCATTGGTGAGCGCCAACACTGAATGGTACAATATTTGATCCATGTGGTTTACTGACACTGCAACCTGTTTCCAAGCAGTAGCCCTGCCCGGGTGTTAACAGCACAGTACTGTACAGCCCCATCTGTCTGCATATAGTGTATTTATAACTAAAAGCTATTACAATTATTACAATGATTTCTGTTTCAATATATACAACAGTATAAAATACTACCCGAAAAACTTTTGTATTTCAAACAATTTTAACCACTTCATCAAACAATGCATTTGCAGAATTAAAAAAAAAAATAACCCAAATTAATGCTGATTGCCAACAGTACAGCATCTCTATGGTATGTTTCCTAATAAATGAGAAAATGGAAGTGTCTTATAATCAATTAAAATAAGTATCACAAAACATAATTAATGTTAGAGCAGTTCAAGGATTCCCAGTTTGTCAGTATCTACCCTAAGCAGTGCTACTCAAATACAGTATAAGCCATTTAGTGTTTCTACAATGAGAATAAAACATTCAAATATTAAAGCTGCGACAAACACACAAAAGCAAGGAAAGAAAATTTGTTCTGTACTCATTTCTGTTGGAGCAAGGTACAGCATGTCAGGAGTTTGCACTCGGTGCATCATATCTGGTTGTGTCTACAGACTGAGGAATGAGAGGCTGGAGAGCAGTGCTGCAGAAAGGGACTGGGGTGTCCTGGTCCATGGCAAGTTGAACATGAGTCAGCAGTGCCTGGCTGCCAGGAGGGCCAAGTGTGTCCTGGGGGGCATCAGGCAAAGCATCGCCAGCTGGTCGAGGGAGGGGACTGTCCCGCTCTGCTCTGCAGTGGGGAGGGCCTCACCTTTAATATTGTGTGCAGTTTTGGGCACCACAATATAAAACAGATATTAGGCTCTCAGAGAGCAAAGGCCATAAGGATGGTGAAGGGACTGGAGGAGAAGCCTTATGAGGAATGGCTGAGGTCACTTGGTTTGTTCAGCTTGGAGAAAAGGAGACTGAGGAGAAACCTCCTTATAGTCTTCAACATCCTCATGAGGGGAAGTAGAGAAACAAGTATTGATCTCCTCACTCTCATGACCAGTGACAGGACCCAAAGGCCTGAAGTTGTGTCAGGAGAGGTTTAGGTTAGATATCAGGAAAAGTTTCTTCACGCACAGGCTTCCCAGGGAAGTGGTCACAGCATCAAGCCTGTCTGAGTTCATGAAGCATTTGGACAATGCTCTCAGGCATATGATGTGATTTTTGGGGTGTCCTGTGCAGGGCCAAGAGTTGCACTTCATGATCTTGATGGGTCCCCTCCTACTCAGTATATTCTATGGTTCTGTATGAGCTACAATACCTGGATACAACTGTGGAAGACAAATGAAATGGAATCAACTCTGACTTTCCTTGCTGTTGTGGTTTTATGTCAGACCATTCAAGTTATAACAACTTAGTGTCCTTTTTTTTCTCTCCTGAAGGGAGTGAGAGAGAAGAATTCATAATAAAGTTGCAAAAATGCTACTAAAATCCCTATCTTGGACACAATACACTGCTTTAGGAGCTACTGTGTCATTGCACAATATAAGTGGCCTATTTATCGCTGAAGTATTGGTGTAGCAGAATATATTTGTCATTATGGATGTGTTTTAAAAATTAGTATTTTAAAACTTGCTTGTATCCCATAACAAGCCACAAAATTTTGTGTTTTTCAAACACTAATATCCTTACGTAAAATAGTAAGTTTACATTTATAGTGGCAAATTTCAAATCTCTGCCTCTGCTGCTCCAGTTTTTAAAATGAACTTGGTTCAGAGTTTTCGTTCTTTACATCATCCTAAAACAGAACTATTTCTGAAGCATAAAAAAAAAATCCAAATGGCAATGATAATATCTGGGGGTTTTTTTGTGTGTTTTGCTAATTCATTCCTAACTTGAAAAATAATCAACATCTTAAAAAGCAAAACAATAAAACCCCAAAAATCTCTCCTCAGGAATAGTCCCTGTTAAGTGAGATGTTTTTTTCAAAACCAAGTTACACACCTGCAGTATCTTTAGAGTCATGTTATACACCCTTGAAAATAAAGGCTCATGTTGAGAATGGTGACAGGCCCTTAATTATAGAGGTGTTAACTAGTGACACTTTTTCATCAGAAAAAGCCCAAAAGCCCCACAAAAAATCATAGCTTATATTGAAAGTTTGATTCATGCTCATTTTGTTCATTTAAAAATACTCTTTGGAAACTTGTGTCAACTCCTGCAGACAACTTAGTGATACATCTTTTCCTGTTAAAAAAAAGATAATTCATATTCACCTCTACCCCATGCTAAGCTCTACTACTAATATACACTTCATTACCTGCTCATGTCACCATCTAACACATATCTTTACATTCTTCTACATATAGTGTCCAGGGCTTATTTTTCACCAAACAGAATTTGATAACTATTACACTTAGAAGTTTTAATTGAGGATTTTTTGGTGTTCTAGCCTTTCCATTGCAACGCACAGTGACATTAATGGTTCAGACTTTTTGTCCATGCTAACTTGAGAGAAATTTTTCACCAATTTTTTCCCATTGAGGATTTTAAAATCTAAACTCAGAGATCAAAACTGAAAACCAGAAGAGAGATTAGATGCATGTAATTTTAAAATGGTTTCTGCTACTTTAAAATGCATTTAAAAATTGTACATACAACAGTATTTTAACTTTTACATTGCTGTTATCAGATTCTAATTCAAAATCTTGCAAATATACACGAAAAATAAGCCACTGGTCATAAATTCTAATGATTACATTCAAAACTAGCCTTTAAAAAAATAAAAAAGTTACAGGCAAAACATACTGGTTTATGTACTCACTAGCTTATCAGGCTACAATAGGCATGTTTTAAGTATAAAAAAGCAGACAATTCAGATTTAAATAAGACTGTGTGAAATCAGAAAAAAACCCTTAGATTTCACTATTAAAAAAACCCAAGAACACCTATAATTACTTCTCATCCTACAGCTACAGTTAAACCAACTAACAAAAATAATCAAAGTATTGATGACAAACAAAAGTTAGGCTAGAGTATGTGGCAACAATCAAAGTTCATATATGTTTCTATGTAAAATGACTCATGATTTACTATAACATATGAAGAAGAGCACTTCGTGACTAATGAAAGAGCTACTAGTAGAAACACTTAATGCCAGTCTTCAGCCCTCCTTTAAGTTGTATCTCCAAATCAGTATTGACTTCTTTTGACCAGATACATCATTTTTGGCTTGTCACCCGAGTATGTCATGTTTTACCACTTGTCACAGGCAGCAGTAGACAACTAGCTAAGCAAACTACAAGCAGTGACATGCAGAAATTAACTCTCAAATCTGAGTACTTAGATAAAATGATATGCAAGCGCACACTAGGACAGAAGGAATGGCATTTGTCATCCAAATAGGCTCATCATCCCTCCCCACCCCCCTTGAACAGTAGTTGCAACAGCAATAGAAAAAAATCAAGATGTCTGTTCTTCAGAGTCAACTGTGGAAAAAAGTCAGCAATATATAACAGCAGCGATGGACAAGGAAGAGCAAACTGAAAGAATCTTGTTGAATATTTGTTCATTTACTTTTTCTGAACACAAGCCAAAGTGTGCCACACTGGCTTGTTCTGAACTTCAGATACAGATGTCCTAATCTCCTTAGATCCTTCACAGATTTAGAATTCAGTCTCCCTGAGGCCCCTATAACCAAGTAAGAAAACTCTCTTTATCTAGCTTGGTGGCTGCCAAGACAGATTCCATGTCATTAAGGATGTCAGAGCTCAAAGCCTCTTGCAGACTTGGCATCAGTTCTTCTCCTTCTATATTCATCCCATCTCCTTCCAGTGTCCCAAGGTCCACATTTGTCCCTGGAATGGCTTCAAGGTAGTCTGGGAAACGGTTCTGATGGGATGGTATGTTACTTTGGCCGATACTGTCACCTAGTTATAACACAAAGTAAGATGGATATTAAATATACTGGAAGTACCAAACCTATAATTTAACAGGACAACTGGTTAAAGGTTAATAATGTATCTCTTGCATTATACAAACAATGTGATTCACAGAAATCCATCACAAAACCCAAAGGTAACTTGAATACACGTAGATGTACAAAGAACATGTCTTTGTTTCAAATTTTCATCTACGCAACCCAAATCTCTACAGATCTTTGATGTCATTTAGCATAATTTGATTTTTACACTTAAAGGAAAAAGACAATACTGAATCAAATACAGTTTTGGAGTAGTATTAACAACACTGGAGGAGATACTATTCTTAGCTCAGAACAAAAAATATACTTTAAAAAGCAAATTCCTTATAATACACTCAAATTCCTTATAACAACAAGAGTGATACTGTTTATGAGCAATCTCCCATCCTTCCAATACAGTTGATTATCAATATGTTTTTTACAAATCTAACCATAATATTTCTATTACAGAAATAGGGGAAATAGAAAAAAATAGAAAAAGGTAGAAAAACAATGCAAAAAGTATCACAGCTTCTCAGAGTTAATTGTTTTCATTGCAAATGGATACAAGTATATTAGGAAAACATGCATTAAAAAATGAACACAAAACCAGACCTGTATCCATCTCATCAACACTGTTCAGGAAGTCATCTGGGGTTCTGGGTACACTGTAACTGCTCATGCTAAGTCCACTATCTGTGCTTTCATCTCTGGAGTGATATGTTCCACTGCAACAGAAGAAAGAGAAAAAAAAAGAGGGGTTTTGAAGAAAAACAGAGGATTACAGAAGAAAATAAAACAGATGCTTGTTTTCAACCAATTCAAGGGCTTTGGAAACACTGTTGTCCTGAGAAATGTTCTACTGTGATAAAAAAACTGAAGCCTTTGTCTGGGTGGGACACCTGGGTTGTACTTTATGCAGACCTTTTCCAATTAAAACCATATTATTTAGATTCAATTTAACTTGATGAGAGCATATTCAAGCAGCTTTAAGAAACTGCCTACTTGTGTTCTGCATAATTTTAATATTTTCACACCCACCCACCCACTGCTAAAACCATTGGAAGCATATGAGATAGTCTGTAATGATTATAAAAATAATAACGATGGTTCATCCTTTCATGCTTCCATAAGGATAACAAAAAAATATTTCTAACTACTAATGTCCTCATGTTTAATCAACCACTGAAGTATATTTTTAGGTCACTGCTGTTATAAATAGTTGGAACTCATTTAGCAATTCTTCAGTTGCTTCCCACTGCTGCATTACTACTTGTTCAGTCACATGTCAAGGCAACAGAGTGCCCTAATATAAATCAAATACTAGTACAGAAGCCGTCCTGTAAACAAACCCCGCTCAGAATGATCCTGCTGACAGAACGGTTAACCAAACTAATGGCATGGGGCCTTACATGCACTCACTTTCTTACTGCCATCTTACTGCCAGCACAGCGAGCAAAACCCAGAAAGCCACAGTGGGAAATTTGGGATGGGGTGGGGAAGCTGGCCAGTGTATTGAGTTTACATAGCAAGGTTTTGGTAGCAAGGGGGTCTGCAGGGATGTACCCTGTGAGAAGGCACCAGGAGCTGATCCGACGTCTGACCCAGCTGGTTCCAGCTGGCTCCAAAGTGGTCCAACTGCCCAAAGCTGAGCCCATCAGTGACAGTGGTGGTACCTTTGTGATAACATATTTTTTTAAAAAAGAGTAAAAATGCTGAACAGATGGGAGAGAGAATATGTGAGAAAAACAGCCCTGCAGGCACCAAGGTCAGTGCAAAAGGAGGGGGAGCAGGTGCTCCCGATGCCAGAGTAGAGATTTCCCCTGCAGCCCAAGGTGCAGACCATGGTGAAGCAGCTGTGCTCCTGCAGCCCATGGAGGTAACATGATGGAGCAGAGATCCACCTGCAGCCACTGGAGGACCCTGTGTTGGAGCAGGGGGGTATGCCTTGAAGGAAGCTGTAGTCCATGGAGAGGTCAAGTTAGAGCAGGCTCCTGGCAAGAGCTCTAGCCTGTGGAGAGGAGCCCATGCCAGAGGA